TTCTTATATAAGGTTATTATGTTGAATATCATTTTTAAAATCAGGCGCACACTCCTTCTCAGGATTCTGAAATATACTTCCAACACCTAAAACTTACACCCACTGATTTAGAGTTTGATTTAATTTATGCTCATGACATTCATTTATGATGTTACCAACTCCTGATCCTCACTGAGAAGTCACAGATCTGATTTCCAGAAATGGTTTTCTCACTTCTTCTGTCAAGGATATCCTGATTCCTCCTACCCGTGGCCCCACTCTCCACCTGCTGCCTCAGCATAAAGGCAAAAGTATGGATGGTATCTGAGATTTGTTTTAAAATACATTTAAAAAACATAAAAGATAGATGAAGCAAATATGGAAAGAAATTTAATTATTATTGCAAGTGGGTGATGGATATTTAGGATCTGTTGGACCATTCTCTTAACTTTTTGGTCTATGTTTGAAAATTTCCATAAATACAAAAATGGCTCAGAATATAATTAAAATATAATTATCAAAATTTCCCATATTTCATTTCTTATGATTTCAGGGAAGAAAGGAGAAGGAGAGAGAGACAGAAACATCAATGATGAGAGAGAATTATCTATTGACTGCCTCCTGCACGCCCCACACCGGGGACTGAGCCGGAAACCTAGGCATATGCCCTGACTGGGAATCTAACCATGACCTCCAACTGAGCCGGAAACCTAGGCATATGATCTGACCGGGAATCTAACCATGACCTCCTGGTTCATAGGTCAATGCTCAACCACTGAACCATGCAGGCTGGGCTGAATATAATTCATAGGCTGCATAACACTTACCGAGACGCTTGAAGAAATTCTCCTCTTCATCTCTTCCATTTTCCATTCCACTCCCAGGCCCGCCTTCGGAAAGCTTCACTGCACTGGTAAATTTGACCTGAGAAGAAAAGGAAAGTAGCCAGATGACTAAGTTCAATTCTTTGTGTATATTCTAACCCTTGTCTTGAAAAATAAGATGCTTAGAATATGAAGGTTACTTCTGACTTCCACATCTGGTTAGTCATACTCTGTAACTATAATTTGAAGAAAGATCCTGGTCATAGGTTGAAAGTAAAATAATCAGACACTATGAAAATAATTGAGTAAAAAAAATTGAGGTATTCCTAGAGTTTAATTTTGATTAAATTCAAACTGAAAACCAGGAACAGAAAGCCATCTTCATTCTTTACAAATAACACCACCACAATTGAGAATCAGGCCAAAAAGAAAGCAGAATAGAGATTTCAAATCTCCATAGAAGAACCAGTATAAGTTTGTTTATAAAGTACACTGTAATTAAATTGCAATAACATGGGTTCTTCTAAGAATTAAGATGTATTCTCAATCTTGCCCTTAAGCCAACAGTAATCAAAATTTCCAAGAAAGCAAGGAGGCTATAGGCCTCATAAACTCTCAAATCCTTGGCCAATGTTTTAGCATAAAGAATGTGAAACGTGAATTATAAATATATCTTCTAAATGTCTTATAATGTTGCTATATTCTTTATATAATTTCAAAATATTACTTTTACAAGAGATAGAAGAAAACTGGTTTTAGTAAGATTCAAAGAAGGAAGAATGTAAGCAAATAATTTCTCTATAAAAATATAACTGATCATAAGCTAAAAGTTTCAGTGGTCGGGCTATGAATCATTCATAAGAAAAACTCTTATAAGAAATGGATTTCCCTGAGAATTATTACCTGTTCCAAATCATATGCTACTACATTGCGTAACAGTATTATGAAGAAGCACTTAATGGGAAAAGTCATCCTGAGTTTCTTTATCTTCTTCAATAGGGAGAATGGCTCAGCTGATGCAAAAAGTAGTGGAAGAAGAATAAATAGTGTGTGTGTGAGTGTGTGTGTAAGAGGAATCACTATAGAATTACTGTATTCTTGGAAAGGGGCTTGAGATATCAGGAATTTTACATGCGTGTTAAAAGTTAATACAGCTAGGAAGTAACACACACACATACACCTATATCTGCATTATAATTTTATATAAAAATGTTACCACACTTTTCCTTTATAACGTCTACTATTAAGACATCTTAGCCCTAGCCGGTTTGGCTCAGTGGATAGAGTGTCAACCTGTGGACTGAAGAGTCTGGGTTCGATCCTGGTCAAGAGCACATACCTCGGTTGCAGGCTCCTCCCCGGCCCCAGACCCTGATTAGGGCTCATGCAACCAATTTATGTGTTTCTCTTACATTGATATTTCTCTCTGTCTTTCCCTCTCTCTTCCACTCTCTCTAAAAATCAATGGAAAAAATCCTTGGGTGAGGATTTAAAATATATATGTGTATATATATTTTAAAGACATCTTAGTTTTCATTGCTCATCTAACTACGTTTCCTAAATTTGTTCAACTTAAAGAGAGTTTCTTCAATGTTCTTTGGCCCCTCCAGGTGTTTAGCATTTCTCAGCCCTAACAATTTTTCATCAGCGACTCCAACATCCTCCACAGAAGTAATGTCCTGTTTACCTTGGAGCTCTGCCTGATGAAAGACAGGCGGTCCACAGAGCTGATGTCCAGGAGGTCCTCCACGCCATCCGCCAGGCCTGAGAGGGAGGATCGCTTCAGCCAGTTCCCTATTTAATAATTTTTTTAAAAAATCAGACCATTATAGCATTTTCTCCCAAATGGATTAAAACAGAAATGCCAGCATGTACCCAACAAGCAATGAAAGTTGAATGGCTTGATATAAATAGAAGTGAAAGGAAATTGTTTTTAATGTACATGCTTTGAATCTAAATGGTCAGAGTTGGACTATTAAATTACATGAATAAGTAAGACCAGGACTAAAAGAACCTAAGCCTCCTAGGTGAATGAAACCATAATATATCCCGTTCTCCTTGACAACTTTCATATCTTCCAGTAAGTCCCGTTGATTTTCCCTTTAGTACTTCTCAAACCTGACCACTTATCTCTGTCTACATGGTCAATACCCAGTCCAAGCTCCCATTCCTCATACCTGGGCCACCCTCTCTCTTATCCACTTGGGCTCCCTCCAATCTGCTTTCCATGCTGTGATCTTTTAGAAAAAGTTTACCTGCTCATGTTACTACTATTCAACATCCTACCTGGGCTATGGAGGGTTTAGGGTAGAGAGTCAAACTGGCCTGCATGCTCTGGCCCAGGGGTCCTCAAACTACGGCCCGCGGGCCACATGCGGCCCGCCGAAAACATTTATCTGGCCCGCCAGGTGTTTTTGCCGCCGCTGCCTGTCCTGCTTAGCAGCTGACTCGTCCCAGGCCCACAGTGCACGTGTGTGGAATGTCTGAGGGACAGTGAACTGGCCCCCTGTTTAAAAAGTTTGAGGACCTCTGCTCTGGCCTGTCACTCTACCATGTCATGCAGCCCCTCTTCTCCTAGGCTCAGCTCTTCCATTTCTCTCCCTCCTAATATTTTTGCATATTTTATGGCTACCACCTAGAGTGCTCTCCTTCCTCCTTCCCTTAAGATCTTCCTCCAGCCCTAGCTAGTTTTGCTCAGTGGATAGAGTGTTGGCTTGCAGACTGAAGGATCCCAGGTTCGATTCTGGTCAAGGGCACATGCCCAGGTTGTGAGCTCCATCCCCAGTGGGGGCTGTGCAGGAGGCAGCCAATCAATGATTCTCTTTCAACATTGATGTTTCTATCTCTCTCTCTCTCCCTATCCCTTCCTCTCTGAAATCAATAAAAAATATCAAAAAAAAAAACCAAAACAAACAAACCAAAAAACCTGATCAGCAACTCTGCAGAGACAGGAAATTTGAGTTACAAAGTCCAGAGGTGTGAATGGAAGGCTGAGGGCCAAATCCAGCCTGCAGATATGTTTTATTTGGATATAGAGTATTAATAAAATAATTTTTGAATTAGTTGTCTATTATTAAAAACTGAGAGATTTCACATAAGTACACAGACTTCTGACTTCACTTGAAAAGCTGGCTTATCTAGCCATGATGAGAATAGATACTTCTGGTTGGCAACAATGAGCTGCAACTAAGCAGCATCGGCCCCCTTCTCCAGTTCTATCCAGACCCTTCGATTCCCTCTTGAGTCTCCAGCACTGTGGACCAGTATCAGTGCTGTTTATTATCACACTTGAAGTGTATGGTTGTACAATTCAGACCACCTACCTTTCTTTGTTCTGTCCACAGGGATTCTGGGAGTCAGGATAAATTATGTGACTAGAAACTGGGGTCAAGCTGGGGCACACACACACACACACACACACACACACACACACACATATATATTTGTTTTTAAAGAAAAAGAAAAAAAAGATCTTCCTCTAAGAAACCTTCTGTGATTCCTGTCCCTTCTCCCTTTAAGGCCAGGTCTTACTGTTGCATGCATTTGATGCCTTGTGTATATTTCCTTTATAAAATCCATAGTTTGCCACTATACTCAGTTACATGATTATCTGTCACCCCTGCTAGATTGCAAGTTCTGCAAAATAGGGCACTGTGTAATTTTGCTTACCATTTAATACCTGATGCCTAACATAATGTTTGCACCCTGTAGAAGCACATACTAGGAGTTTGAGAAGTATCTGTGTGTGTGTGTTTTTTTAAATGAGTAAATGAATGAATGCAGTCAGTTTTGGCCTTGAAGGCTTTCCCTTTCTGCATCCTATCATGCATTGCTCTGTTTTGATTATGAGTTTGTTTGCAGGCATGACATGGAATAAGAGAATCCATAAATAAATACAGACATACTTTTACCTATGGGGAGTTTCAGCTTCTTCCGAAGGGAAATTCTGCGGGACCGTGAGCGGGCGCGTCGGTCAGAGGTGTTCCCTGAGTGGGCGGTGGTGCATTCCGAAGTGTCCTGCTCAGACTGGCTGCTGGTGTCACTTGCTGCACTCTGGGATTTGAACATCTTGCGCCAGAAATCCTTCCGCCCCAGGTTTCCCCCTTGCATTTGTTCATCGCTGAAAGCAAGCAGAGGCGAGAATTAAATATGTGATACACTGTGAAATTCTCCTAAATTTCTTTCAACCCCCTGCCAATGGCACACAGGCAACTCATGCAGGATTTATCTCTCAAGGGCTGGGATGTGGAAAGAGTGGGCGTGGAAGGAGGAAGACCAAGGTTGACTCTCTGAATTCTTCCTGAAAACAGTCATGTCTCAGATGTCAAACTGAAATGACTTCTTATTCAGCCTTAATAAAAAGACTAAATTTTATTGCAGGTATTCGTCTGCAGGTGTGAGTCATAATAGCAGCAGCACTTACAGTGACAGTAAATATTTAACCACTTTTGGAAGTTCCCTGAGGCATGTGCACAATTGTATCTTACTCCCCACCCCCACTCCAGTTTAGTATAATTCTTGACATTAAAACACTCACAAAAAGTACTTGAATAAATGAAATGCAATCACCACACCCAAGGGATGAATCATTCAACAACTGTTCACTAAATTATTTTCAGAATGCCAAATTATTTGGCTTACTTTAGTCAAAGAAACTTAAGTAAGGTTTAAAAGTAAAAATATTTGCCGCAGCTGATGTGGTTCAGTGGTTGAGCATCAACCCATGAACCACGAGGTCATGGTTTGATTCCTGGTCAGGGTCCTTCAATGATTCTCTCTCATCACTGATGTTTTTATACCTCTCTCCCTCTACCTTCTTCTCTCTGAAATCAATTTTTTTAAAAAGTAAAAATATTAGTCCTATACAGTAAAACAAATGGGAACACCTTCAAAGAGATTTTTGAGTAGGGCATTGCACAAGAGAAAAGAGATAAGAGGCCAATTTTATGCAGACTTTAATCTCACTAGGAATTTTAAAAGAAGATGGTTAAAATGAGGTCCCCATTTTCACTCATTAAGTTGGCAAACATTATGGGGGTAAAAAAGAAAGCAATGGTTACTATCATACTGCCAGCAATGCCTTACAATGATTAAACCTTTCTGGAAGGTAATTTGGTTATCCAAACCCTATATCTACACCCATGACTGAAAAATTCAACTTCCAGGAAGTTATCACAAGGAAATGATGGGACAACATGCTAACATACAAGAGGGTCAAATGCTCACTGAGGTATTATTGATCAACACTGAAAAACTGAAAACAATCTAAATGTTCAACTCTAGGGATACAGTTAAAATAAATTATGGGACTTCCATATAATGACATGCTCCATAGACATTAAAATCCTATTTTAGAAAATTATTGATAAAAATGTTGAAGATATAGTGAAAAGTTAAAAAACAATGATCAAATAAATTAGACAGGATAAGACCAAGTTAATAATAATTTAAAAAATACACATGTACACATGTGTCTGAGTATGAGCTTATGTGTATATATGCTAAAAAATGTACCCAACAAAATATACCAAAAGTTTACATTAATTGTCTCCAGTTGATGGCATTCTGGTTTCAAAACTATTTTTCTCTATGCTTTTCTGTGTTTTCCACATTCATCAATTTGAACAACATATATGACTTTAGTAATTTGGAAAGAGAAGGTTATAGGAAATACCTAGTAACATGATAAAAATTTGTTCATGGGATTTGAGGCTTAAAAGCTTTGGAGTTAAATTTAGAATCTACCCCAAACTTGATAATACTGTGTAAAGCAATGATTTTCTAGAGATATTTAATGGGGATCCATATTTTGTCATTCAAAATCTCATCAGAGAACTAAATACCTTTTATTCTTATTTTAAACCAGGGAAATCTGTTTATCAAATATGGTATGAATTTTATTCTTATTTTAAACCAGGGAAATCTGTTTATCAAATATGGTATCAAATCAATGTTTTTGAACTTGACTTCTCAGTTATTTTTATAAAATGATCACAGTGCATGAAGCATTTCTTACCTTTGGGGAATGTGCGATACATGACTACATGATCTGGGTGGGAAAACATTCATGGAGGCTGTAATTTATCAGCTTTCTCAATAAATGCTACATCAGCTTTGTTCAATGAGTGTGTATCAATAAGTAGTTTCAGAGAAAAGAGCATATAAAACTGCTTTTTATATTACTCAGTTAAAGTGACTTATTTAAGGAGGGAGAAGGAGAAGAAAAGGTAAGAAGGGGAGGGGAAGGGAGGAGAGAGAAGGAGAAGATAAAGGAGGAGGCAGACTCATCCATCTACCCATCTTTCTCCAATGCTAAACAAGACATTTGGCGTGCCCATCTCCTGGGCCAACTCAGGTCAGGGAAAAGTTCTATATCTGACATTCTATGACATCCCTTCAAGTGGAAATTTTTATGTAGATGCCTAGTAAAACATGTATCTTCATTCGAGGGGAAAGAAGAGAGGTGCTAAATGCTGAGAAATTAGGTGGGGTTTACAAAATACTGAAGAAAGAGAATATTTTGCAGTCTACAAAACTAAATTACCTAGGAAGATAAATGGTTTTATTTCTTAATTCGATTTACTATTAGATAATTCTTACCAGATTAGCTCAATAATTGCTAGAATGATTTTGGAAAAAAGTCCTGCTTTTTCAGACAGATTCTGTGTATAAGGATTTTTAACTAGTCTTATGGCTATTCAGCTATAGAACTTTGCTTTTCACATTAATGTTTCTTTTTTCCTAGAGCTTACATTTGAATTTTTACCATTTCCTTGAAGACTTCCTTAAAGAAAAAACTAAACCTCAATTTTGAAAAAGTTAAAGAAAACAAAGGTTTAAGGGTAATCTGTCAAGTTTATCTTTTCATTGATTGATTGTCATTTATTCATTCAAATATATATTAAGTGCCTACTATGTGCCAAACACCATCTAGGCATTGGGGCTATCCTGGCAGGCAAAAACTCACATGGTCCCTGGGCCTATAGAGTTAATTTACTTCTCACGTTTCTCTACCCATTTAGGGCAGTCTCTAAGATTTTTCAAGGGCTATCACAACTGTGAGGGCTTTTTATCCTTTAAAGGTTTTGTTTGCTTGCAGTAGATTATTACCAAGGTCCTATTTGATGACTAATATTCTTGACTATGGAGAGAGGATACCATAAAAGCTCCACTACCTGCAGAATTTCTGGAAGGATAATTATTTAATAGTAAATCAGGGTTCTGGGAAGTAAAATGATGTACTTAAAAGGATGTACACATTTTAAATATTGATTATGCCACTTGTGCAAGCAGTCCTCAAAAGAAGAATTAATGTGCCCTGGCCAGTGTGGCTCAGTTGGTGGGAGCATTGTCCCATACAGAAAGGTCATGGGTTCGATTCCTGGTCAGGGCACATGCTTGGGTTGTGGTATTCGATCCCCAGCTCTGGTTGGGGAACATGGAGGAGGCAGCCAATCTGTTTCTCTCTTACATCTCTCTCTCTCTTCTCTCTGTCTCTCTCTCTCTCACTTCCTCTCTCTCTCTCTCTCTCTCTCCCCCTCCCTCCCCCCCCCTCTAAAAAGCAATGAAACTGTCCTCAGATGAGGATTTTAAAAAATCAAAAGAATTAATGCAAATGAGCCTAGGCTGTTTATTTAATGTCTACAGTAATATTCACATTTTCTGGGGACACTAATTTCAAGATGCTTTTGATTTTGCCATTATGAAAAGTAGAGATAAACTGATATCAGAGGCTTCCTATAGACATGAGGTTGATTATTTATTATTTGATTCTATAGAGATGAATGGCTTTGGGAATGAAAAGTAAAGGGCAGAAGCAAGGCAAAGTTTAAAAAAACAACATCATCAACAAACAGCAGTTTGGAAAATAAAATTTCTTCCATTGGGAAGTGCTCAGCCCACTACATTGGACACAAAACCAATGCTACTTACTGCTCTGGAGTCTGCGAGGGTCGACCAGATATGAAGCTGCGACATTCCTCAGGTGCAGAGGACACTTGGCCTTTATCCACAACGCTTCCTGCCTCTGACCTATGCAAATGGTGCATTCCACCAATCACAACAGAGCAGGACACCACTTCTCAGTATCTCGTATAGTTCACAACACGCCACTCTAGACAACTATATGGCTTGCAAACCCCATGTCAACAGAATCTATGTTGGTATGGATTTTATACCTTACCATTTGACTCATGACCCAGCTACCTATTGCCCAAGAATTCCACTATTGCTAACAGAATCATTAACTGCAGGCAGGATTTTAAGTTTAGGATTTTCTTTTAATCTTTGTAAGTGGCATTTTTCATAAAATAGGCATACAATAAATGTATGTTTATTTGAAATAAAAACAGCAGAGTTCTGTTTAGCAATTCATCTTTTGATGTGTTAAAAATATCATTTAACTGAAGAGGATGATATGGTAGCAGTAACTGCTTTTTCTTCCTGAACAAAAATTTATATTCTCTATAGAAGAAACAAAACACAGATTAAATACATAAGTAAGAGTTATGAAGGGCAGTTCAAGTGCATGGAAGTTTGGGATCAACTGAGCTCTGCTTCATACAGAGACAGGACTTATTTGATGGTAAACTCATTCCTTTCCTAAGCTGCAGCTGGACCACCATCCGTGATTCCATTTATGCAAAAGTAACTCTGCACTGGAGTTACACACAGTGTTCGGAACCACATGGACATGCAACAGAAGATTATATTCTACAGACACAGGCAAACACTTATACTCAGAGAGCTCAAGCTTCCAACCTTTTGCTGCCTACAGGCTTAGATTCTGGTTCATTCTCCTCCACCCTTTTCCCTGGTGCCAACTTCTCCGCACTGTCAAGTAAAGCGCTGAGGGCCACTCTCCTGAAGACATTCCCATGAGCCTCTTTGATAAATTGGACCAGCTGACGGATGTCACAATACAGCCCCTATTTGGAAGCAAGAAGGAAAGTGTGAGGAAAGGTAGTTGTGTGAGTGTATAGTTTTCATAGGAAGGGGGGAGGGGGTAATTCTTTGGGCTTAGATGAGCACTGGGATCGTAAAGGGAAGACAATTTCCTATGATAAAATCGATGGTAAACCTCCTCTCCCTTGTTCCTATGGCTACATTACCAGGAACCTTGCATGTCATTCTAGTGTGAAAAAGAATGGTTATCATGCTTCATATTCAGAAAGTTGGCTGTATCATTAGAAAGACACTGATTTATACTTTTAACCACTGGATTCCCAAGCTTTAATTTTGCTCTCTTAATTGTGACCTCTGAAGAGATGCCTGCAAAAACAAAATGCAATCAGAATTTTGTTTATACTAGAGATTTCAGTCCCTGTTTAGCTTCTCCAAATTTTCCACATCATTGTGATAAAATTGTTAAGTCCTCTATACACCTCTGACAGAGTCTAACATTCAAGGATGATGCATTTTGCTGAACAGATTTAACAAATAACATGTATGTTGCACCTCATTTGAACGTGAACTTGACTATGAACTTAAGATGATGCAGGGCTATTAAAACCAATATACTGGTAATTCAATATTTAAAAATACATGCAGCATTTTGGGGGGAGGGGATTAAGCTTTGCACTCAGCATTTCCCCCTCTCTTCCTTCTTTAAGAAGGCTGTCATTGTATTTTTTTTGTCTTAGGAAATATTCATGGCAAAGCAGAACATAAAAGCCTAAAAATATACTTACCTTGATAGCTTTGAGTTTTAAAACCTAAGACCGGTGGGACAATTATGCCCATGATCTTTGAAAAAGCAGAAGGGAGAGCTACTAAGGAAAACGTGGCGAGTGTCCTTTCAGTGCTGTGGGCAGCAAGGCCCTGTGCCCTCACTCTGCTCGTTGGCCGCTACTCCATGGAAGGGGCAAGGCCCAAGAAGCAAGGGTTCCAAACTCTCCAGAGTGCATGCAGCAAAAGCACTAGTGAAATAGTTGGTGTGAACCAATGATTGGAGCCCATGGACCCCCCCCCAGGCCCTAGGTCCCACCTAACACTTGCACTGCTCTGCGAAGTGGAGGAAGCCAAGAATGACTGAGCTTCAACTTCCAGCCATTCTAGGGGAAGAGTGGTTCCAAGTCAAATTGAAGATGATTTACAGAAAATTAAGAAATGCAGTATTGCTTCCATACATGATGTCACAATACATGTTATAATAAGATGTATGAGAGCTCACATGTATTACAATCAACTTGTCAAGTGACTTCTTTCTTTGACCAAATTGAATGCGTAGGTGGTGTCCATATTATTCTCAAGCTCCAAGGATCTTGCTGGGGTGGCTTTGACAACCAGGAAAAGTAAATTCCCTTTGGTTTGGGGTTTTAATCTGTTTATCTCCAGATAAGTGAATAGTTTCAATTGTTTAGAATATCTTAAGTAAATTCCTCAGATAGTGGCCACATATGTAGATGGACTGATTTCTGCATTAGGAGTCATAATATGTAACGAATTGGCACAACAGAAAAACACTCTTTTACTCCCCAGGTAGACCTGAGTTCATCTCCTCCCTTCACATCTATTGGCCTGAATGTACATTTCAGTACACAATCTCCTGTGTAGTAATTAAGCATTAACCTTTTACAGCCTGGCTTGCTCTACTTGTGGCTTCAGTGGCTTAATTAACACAGTCATTTATGAAGAGTAGCTAAAAGAATACAGCCCCCAATTAGAAAAACCCAACTATTTCAGCAGCATATTTGCATTCATTTTTAAAGTAAGTATAATTTTAAAAGATGCTTGGTATAACATTTTTTAATATTTCATGAGCTAGCATGCTGCGCTCCAGCACCTTCTTTCTGAAGGGCTCAAAGTATTTTGCAACTATTACACCAACCACCACAGAAGCCCTGAGACAGAGGAGGGAGAGAAGTCAGAGGAGGGATAGGATGATGAGTAACAGGGAAATGTGTTGCTGAGGCTCCACCGTGAGTTACTGGTAACATTGGAAAAGCAGGGATTTTCGACTTCAACTTCTCTTTCTCATGATTTGTAGGAGTGAAGAAATGCAGTGTTTCTTCTCTACATGAGAACTTTTTCCTGATGGAGACAGAGATTTCCTGTGGGAAGGAAAGGTGAGCTTCTCACCAGATTCTCGGAGCTGTGCAGTTCATGTGTGGTTGAAGCGCAGCGTGTGATGAGGGCCTTAAACATGGCACTGACGATAATGCCTTCCACATTTTGGGCTGTGGATTTGTTGTCCACTGTGGTGAAGTTATTTCCAAAACCAGCCTTGTCTGGAATGCAAAGGAGCCAATTAAAGGCAGTTTCCATCAAACCACACAGTTTAAAGAAGTACTGGGCACCCAGGAATTAAGGAAGGGCACACAGAATACCGAAACAGAGGATTAAAGATACCCCTGGTTTAGTAACCTTACCATGGACTTGGAGATAAACAATTCATAGTCTCTTTCAGAGTCTTTATTACGACACTAGAGGCCCGGTGCACGCATTCGTTCATGGGTGAGGTCCATCTGACCTGGCCTGATCAGGGCCGATCAGGCCGGGCCAGCCGGCGGGGAGGGGCCACGGGTGGTTGGCCAGCCTGCCCAGCCCTCTTTTCAAACTCCTGGTCCAACTCCCGGTCAAACTCCCAGTCCAGGGGACAATTTGCATATTATTATTTTATTATATAGGATATTCCATTGCTTTATGGAGTGCTTTAATTGATAAACCTCAGCAAAGAAAAGAGAACTGTTGATCCTAAGAAAAAAACTTAGATCTAGAGTAGTTTTAAAATTGGTGATCATTCAAAAAAATAATCTACTAAAAAAAAAAAAAAAAGATCTACTAAAGGGTCCCTCATTGGAGGAGAAATTAATCAGATCAGTCTTGTAGGTGGTGAAGAATACTGGCTCTCAGTGGAAATCGCTAGGTTTGTAAGAAGTAGAGTGAGGTGAGGCCAACCAGGTGAGTGGGGCAGGGGAGGGAAGAGGCCAGGAGGGGTCTGGAGAGGCATTCACACAGGTATGCAATGGGAACAAGAAGGAACTGAGTCCTGCCAAGAGCTGCAAAGGAATTCCAGCAGCATCTCGCTCCCAGAGACTCTTTGGACAGACAGAGAAGGAAAATCTACAACCTCCCTCACGGGCACCCCTTTCTAATTCATTGAAATGTGAAATGCCAGTGAACTGAGGCCCTCACCCTCTGTGGCATTTTATACCAGTTTTTCATGAATCCATGGACCTTTTGTAGGGTAACATCAGGTATTTGGGGGCTGCCAGAAAATTCCTCATGGGGTTTGAGCCACCTGTGGACTATGGACTGTGGACTGTAGGGGCAGAGTGTGTGTAGCTCCAAGACTGACTAGATGGGGCCCTGTGTGTCTGGCTGGCCCATTCACTGTGAGACACTTCCATTTCTCAAGAATCCCAGGAGGAATTCATCACCTTCAAGTAATACAATTTTATTATCAACCTCTCTCTTCTGTGTCAATGTACAAGGGATAATCTCTAGATTTTACATTAGAAACAAATGGTTTAGTCTATGCTTATAGTTTCTATCTCCAATAGCTTAAAAAAGATTGTTTAAAAGATTTGTAATCAAGATTTCTCTTACAGTCTCAACCACAACTCTCACTGTTTTCTCTTTCTTTCTTCTTTTTGTTTTTGTTTGTAATGCACTTGGCTTAAAACAGCTTTGATAACATACATTATTCCACATTTTCTACAGAGAAACCATATTTTCTAAATCCATCAAATATCTCTTCATTATAAATTGATCGACTACTATACTACACATATTGTATAAAAATAGCCCCCCTACACTAAGAAGTTATTTCTTCCCAGGCTCTAATGAAAATGTGCATTTTCCTCAACCTGGGAAACACATCACTTTCAGTTCATTACTGCATTTGCATTCAAGTGGCATTGAAGGTGTTTGGTTTATTACGAATGTAATTGGTGTTCACTGGTCTCCCCCCATAACACAGGTCTCTACACTGGAGTTTTCTTAAAGCCATGAAGCTAAGATATAAATAAAATATTGTGGGCCTGTCTATACATCCATTTTGCCTGTTGTTGTTTTTTTAAATCGGTATATTGTATGCGTATATGTGTGTATCAAAATTGTGTTACTACTATATTTATATATATTTTTTTCTTGCCTGTTTTATTTTGTGAAAAAAATATCTAAGCACTGTGGTGAGCACATAATAGATGTTCATTTACATGACTATCTATGAGTATATTTCCTAGTTCCTGGATCTCTGCCTCAGTTGTCACACAACAGAAGGTCATATGAGAGAGAGGAATAGTAGTGCAAGGGTTGAGGGGCTAAGGGTGAGGGTGCCACAGCTTCACCCAATTCCCATTTGCTGAGGTAAGCTGTCCTCAGAAAGGCTCCAAAATATGTCATCAAAGATGATGTACACGCTTCTCTTGTTTATACCCTATTACACTTACACACACACACACACACACACACACACACACACCCACATTTCCTCCTCTATACTCTATCCATATAAATTTAGTGTGCTTCTGAAATGCTACCTGCTTCACCTCACAGCGACTTCTCCTAGAACTAGAACTTGGTTCAGCTTTACTTACTGTCAGTGACCGGTTCCATACAAAATCCTAGCAAAGCATGCAAGAAGTCCACTACATTATTGAGGGAGTCCTTGTTCACATAGTCCCTCATGGTTTGTCGGAATTGCATCTTATCTAGCTTGTACAGCTTAGTGAGGCAATTCTGGGCCTGCAAGGAAGGAAGAAAAGTGAAAAAGTCACAGGTACCAGCTTAAGTTAAGGATACCATTAGCCCAAGACGGCAGCCTTCAGAAGGCAAAGGCTCCTTTCCATCCCAGCTGCCTGGTGCTGGCCAGCTTGCCAGCCCCTTGTGTCCAAGTAAGAAGTGGGCAGAGACAGGCTGAGCAGTCCAAGGGCATTTGCTTTGAGAAGGGCTGCACCAGGTAAACCCAAAGCTAAGGTCTAATGCTGGTGCCAGTGGGGGTTCAATATTTCCACCAAGATCAAGAATTTAAGGTCTCATTGAAGAAAGCTCAAAGTGTGAAATTTAGGTAGGTGACAGGATTGGGAATCTAAGATTAGAATATTTGCTGGCTATGTGCAATGGGAAGAAGCACGCCACACCTGTGCTCAGCTACTTTGAACTTAAGTAGATAAATGAAGGTGGGGTGGGAGGTTTGTAGGAGGTGCGTATCCAGGGTCCTCTTATGTGGTCAGGAGGAAAATATCCTTGAAACATGAAAGAGGCTTAAAATAAAGGCAAGTCTGGTTTGTTTACTCATGTGTCTGCATTTAAATGTGAACATTTGGTATTAAAATCAAAGTTGGCTTCATGGAGATGAAAAATAAGTGACCGTTGGCTAGGCCCAGCTCCTCAAAATTATATATCTTATGATCCAGCAAATAATTTTGCCAATTGGAAAGGGAATGGGGATAATCCCCACCATCAGAACAATAAACTCACAGTCATTCGCTGCAGAAGGCCACAGACAGAATGCACTGGTACTGCCCTCTTCTATTGAGAGAAATATCACAGGAGAAAATCTCAGTTATATCACCATTTGGCCTGGCTCAGTGGTTGAGTGTTGACCAAGGAATCAAGAGGTTCGATTCCTGGTCAGGGCACATGCCGGGTTATGGGCTCAACCCCCAGTAGGGGAGGCATCGATCAATGATTATCTTTCATCATTGATGTTCCTATCTTCCTCTCTGAAATCAATAAAAATATATTAAACAATAAAATGAAAGTCTAGATGACTTGATCTGGTAGAGGTAAGAAATATTCTTAACATTTTAAAAGTTAAGTACCCTCTGGAAATGCAATGCATTCGAAATCTGGAAAAGCCTACCTTCCTGAATTAGAAATTCCCAGGGAAATTTTCTCAAATTTTCATCTCTTGAAGAATGAACCATGAGTTTACTAAGCATGGATAAGCACAAATCCCCAGAATGAATACTAAACTGGGCTGCAAGATAAGGGAGGAGTCCCCATGTAAGTCAGCAAAGCTGAGCAGGAAGGTAGAAAACTGGACATCCTGGTAGGAAGCACAGTAGTCTTGAAGAGTAAAGCCTGGTGAACTAAGAAGTTAACAACAGCCTCTCAAGTGGCTTCCGATTGAACTAGTTCTACTTTCTCCAAGTCTAAAAAGACAGGTTCTGGTATCAGAGCCAGTTGTTACCTCCAACTAAAGTATCACACGTCATATTTTAGTGTTTCACTTTATAGAACTGGTCTTCTAGATGATGAGCGATAAGGTTTCAGCCTTGAGGGCATTCATTCATATTGTGATAGAATTAAAAGTCATACACCCATGCGCAAAGATAGGGGTGAAGTCAGCTTTTTATTGCCTTCTTATTACTTTGATTTAGTTTTGGCCTCAAAATCTAGATCTTGGTCAAAGTTTTCAAGTTTCATAATTTAGAAGTTAATTACTGTGAAATAGAACCCCCATATACATATAATAAACTAAGATATACAACATAATAGAACATAAACGAAATGATATATATATACATGGATAGAGAGGTAGATGATGAATTACAAAAGAAACACAGCATGCTAATACTGTGTGAGCATTTCACAACAAAACCTAATACCAAGTTAAAATGGGCTGGCATTAGATTTTGACATGATCCTAAAACTCTGCAAGATATGCCAAATGGTTTCTTAGACTCAAATGCATATCAAACTCTTATTGTAGGCAAATATTTTCTTAGGATTTCAATTCAAATATACATTTGAGGCAACAGTCCCAGTTCAGACTTGCTATGGAGATGGGTTGTCACTCAAGTGTGAAGGGGAAAGTAACCATCAGCCGAGGCAAATGAAATGAGCTGGTATGAGACCATGTTCCATTACAGAATCATGCTTTGCAAGCCCAAGTGCAGAGTTTCAAGTTTCACACAGTTCAAAGGGACATGATCTCCAACAGAAGCCAAGGTTCATTCTCAAACAAAGTAGCCAGAACATGACTGGCTACTTTTACAGTCCTCTTTTGTCTCAATAAGGGCCATTTTCCATATCCATGTAAGAACAACAAATTCAGTCCTAAACGTTGACTCCTTTTCTTAAATAAAAATAGTACCCAGGCCAGTGTGATTAAAATGCCATTTGTCACAGACCATTGGAAGCTTGCTACATGTATTCATCATTGCAAAGTTCTTCCAAACTAGAGTGCACACATTCCAATTATATACTCTTTCACCAACGGGGAGTTGGCCTGCTCCAGACAGGAGGCAGAACTGTTTTCCCAATTAAACTTTCCTGGGCCTGGGTTTTAGATATCTTAAGATATCTTGTGGGAATCCTCCCAACACAAGATATCATTATTTACCCCTATGAAATACAATGTTTTTCAGAGAACACTGACCCTCATTGTCAAAGGACTCATTCTTTTGTTGGAGGGAGGGATGAGGGAGAAGAAATGGAATCTACTTTAATTCTCTTACATTCTCTCGGAATACCTGGTGTCTCAGACGATCTCCAGAGAGCCCTCGGTGTCCTTCTCCACAACCATAGGCACATCCCAAAGACTTAACTATTTTGATGAGCATGGTTAGAGCAAGCCTATGGTTGCTTACAGGTATAATTTCATCCTAGTACCCACGGACAAGAAAGAAAGAGAAGTATGTTTACTTAATCACTAAGGTCCTTTTGCTACCAAGATTTTATTTTATGATTAAGCCAAGTTAATTTGTTTTATAGTGAGCACCTGCAATTTGCAAAATAACATTGTCAAGGGTTCAGCAAGCAAGCTAATTTTTCTAAAACCTAGATCATGATTGATTTAAAAGAAAAATATCTATGCATTTTGCATACCCTCTAGGACTAAAGGATATGAATGGAAACTTCTTTTTAAAAATATGTTTTTATTGATTTCAGAGTAAGGAAGGGAGAGGGAGAAATAGAAATATCAACGATGAGAGAGAATCATTGATCTGCTGCCTCCTGCACACCCCCTACTGGGGATCAAGCCTGAAACCCAGGCATATGCCCTGACAGGGAATTGAACCATGATCTCCTGGTTCATGGGTCTAAGCTCAATCACTGAGCCACACCGGCCAGCTGGAGACTTACTTATTCAAAGATATGCTTTTTTATCCTTGACAGACTATTAGGAAAGTTGCTAGAGAGAGGCAGTGTGGACTATCAGTGATGAAGGCAAATAGATTTTCCCAGAAGCTAGTCTCATCAGCAGGCAAGAATTATTGCCTGATTGTACCACCAAGCAAGAATTATTGCTAAATTTCTGGCACTGATCGAAGACTGGAACTAGAAATCACATGACAATTTCTGAGATTTTTAAAGAATTTTTCTAATTTTATACTTTCACTACATTGTTAGAATATAAAGTGAGAATATAAAGAAATTTGTAAGTGTTTGATTTGTCCTTTGCAGCTAAAGAGGAAGCCTTCCTGCATGAATTATGAGAACTACCATCCTTTCTTTTACCCCATTTAATCCTTCTTGTCAATGGAAAACATAGCTTCCAGAAAAATGAATTTCCTTGAAATATTTCCAAAGAAGCATAAGGATGCCGTTGCTAAGGAATGACGCAGACCCCAGTGTGGGAGTGAGTGCCATTACCTTCGGGAGGCTTCAATCTTCCTGAGTCCTTCTGGCTACAGTCTGCTGTCAGCACATACACCATGGATTTGAGATTCCATCTCCTGTTCCTTAACTGCATATCATGCTAGATAAATGAACTCATCTCTATGTGCTTTAGTTTTCTGTCCTGTGAATTGAAGATCCTAATAGCTTCCATTCCTACTTCATTGGTTGACTGTGCAGAATAAATTAATAGACAAGTGATGGGCTCTTCCATAGTCATATAATCAAGTGTATACATAAACTTTGGAGCCATACACATACCCAGATGTGTAGGGTATGAAAGGGATAGAAGGTTACCTAGCATCATGTGCCATAATGTGGTAGACTTTCTCCTCCCCTCATGTTATGTAGTTGGTCCTACTTTTCTAATCTATAGGCTGATGTAGCGTATGGGGCTGGACCCCAGAGATGCCCCTTTTAGGACTGAAGCATTCATTTACTGAGCTGAACTCCTCTCCAGGCACTGCCCCTAGCTAAAGAGAGAAGATTCACCCAAGGTTATGGTCTCTTCCTGGAAGCAATCTGCTTTCAATGGATAGTCAAGGAAATAAAGAGGGTGGGGAATATAAAGGTGGGATCCCTTACTTCACCTGGGGTCTACTTTGAGGAGCCATCCCAGCTCCAAAGCTTCATGTGTGTTAATTGGCTGAGGCCTCTATTATAACTACATTGCAGTTCAACTTCTCTCTCTGCCCCACCCTGCTTCCTTTACACCTCACAGATATTGATTCTGAGAAGACACCTCAGGAAACTTCCTGCACACATACCTCCATGTCTGAGTCTGTTTACTGAGAACTCTGCAGCTTAGATGGTTGCAAATGAAAGACTCAAACTTACCAGTAGACCTCTATCTGTTCGTTCGTTCATTCATTCATTCATTCATTCATTCATTCATTCTTATATTTATATATACCAATTCAGAAATGTTTCAGTTTGGATTCATATCTTAGCTCCATAACCTTGGGCCATCTATGTAACTACTTTGTACCCTACAACCTGGGAATCATAATAATACCTCTCTCATAGAGTTGTGAGAATTAAATGAGTCAAAACATGTAAGGCACAGAATAATAGCAAAACAAATGCTAATTGCTATTTCTAGAGTACTGCTATCCTTTGGGGCAACTTGGTGCAAATTAGAAGACTCTCCTCTGGGTGGATGAATCAGGGAAAAGTGAGCACTCTTAGTGGATGAAGGCTTTGGGTGAGTAGCTTAATGAGCAAAGCTTGGACTGGATTTCAGTCCTTACTGACCGACCCCTTTAACCGAGAGCCTTTATGTAGTACACACACTGCACAGCTGGTGCCTCAGAAAAGGTCACCTTGGGTAAAGGCTGGTTTAGAAGATTGGTTAAGACACATTTTGGAATTACTATATGTTCCTTTAAAATAAAACCCTAGCTCCAAAAGCTCTTTGTAAATATCTATTTAAGTTTCTATTTGTTTCGACTTTCCTATTTCCTTGGGATTTAGGTTTCTCTCACAGGTGACATTCAGAGAGATGGATCCAGCTACAGGCAAAGATCAGGACAGATATTAAATAACATTTCAAGCTCTCAATATGAGTCAGTGACCATCAGAGAGACAGAAATTAGATCTTCCTTTCTGAATATAATAAATTCCCCTTGTTTCTGGTACTTACCAGTTTGCAAAATTAGATAAACCTTCTGATGTCATTGAAAGTAACAGATGGGTTTGGGAAAGAACAGACCTGTGTGACGCACAAGACCAATGAACTTGACCTACAGTCATATTTTATTTTATAAATTTTATAAATTCTTTGTACTACAAAGAATACTATTTTGCAGAACTAAGTATAAAACACTTATATCTTGGCGTCTGTTTTTGAAACCACTTGATCTGACTTTAAAAATTTCCATACTAATCAAAATAACACTTCCATTATCAAGTATCTAGTATAATACCTAGATTTTAAATAAGACACGGAACTGCAGGTCTTCAATAAGAAATTAGCCCTAGCTTGTTTGGCTCAGTGGATAGAATGTCAGCCTGTGGACTGAAGGGTCCTGGGTTTGATTCCAGTCAAGGGCATGTACCTGGGTTTCAGGCTCCTCCCCAGCCCAGGCCCTGGTCAGGGTTCGTACAGGAGGCAACCAATTGATAAGTTTCTCTCACACTGATATTTATCTCTGTCTTTCCCTCTCTCTTCCACTCGTTCAGTGGAAAATATCCTCAGGTGAGGATTTAAAAAAAATAAAAAATAAAAAATTAGATGAAAATATTAATTGGGTAAAAATCAGAACTAAAAACAAAAACATAATACTATTAATGAACCTCAGAGATTCTTAGGATATATAGCAAAACCCTCATCAATTTAGTTGAAATATCTACATTTTACAGATAAAAGCTTATGAAAATTTTTGTCTCTTTTAACTTTTATTTTTTTCTTTCTTTTTTTCCCTTGAATATTGTAATGGACACACCACCATCTATTATCTCTTTTAGTGACCAGCCTAAATTGATAGGTTAAAAAATGGAACTTTATTAAGAATCTCACTGTTTGCTGTGTTTATAAATTTGGTCCTTACAGATTGTATTTGGTTGCTAATTCTTACATAACTGCTGACTGAATGATCCCTTAGGTTTTAGGGTCCAAGATAAAATCCCTTGTGAGCTGCACCATCCTTTAGATAATTTTTACCTAAAGGAAACTCTGAGGATTCTTGGATAGTCATCAGTGATGTATGAGGAGCTAAGAAGCTGAAAACCTTAAGTACCAGAACATACTATTAGAATTGGAAAACATTATATATATCAGGAGAAGAAAATCCTGAAGAAAAGGTTCAGGAACCCAAGAATATTGGGGAAGGAATATTTGGATCACAGTCCAAGAATATTGGGTAGATAGGAATAAATAATAGATGAAATAATAGATGAAGAAACACAGATGACAAATGCACATTAAACATACACCCAGTGGGACTGGAAAGAGATGGAGAAAAATATTATTTTTAATGCACACGCATTAAATATAGGACATGTGAGCACACAGCAAGAGGGTGGTCATCTACAAACCAAGAGAAGAGGCCTCAGAATGTAACACCTTGCTTGCACCTTGATCTTGGACTTCCCAATCTCCAGAACTGTGAAAAGTAAATTTCTTAATTAGGCTTAAGCCACCTAATCTATGATATTATGGTAGCCTGAGGAGACTAGACAATGCTCAACTAGGTCAGACCTTGAGAGTCTTGAGAAAGAGGCCATCCTTGGTGGCAGACTGAAATTATGGCCAGATAGTGTATCTGAGATGTTCTTTTGCAGAAATAACATGACCAGGAAATTAGGTCTAACATTGCTTGGATGGCAATGGTTCTTGAATTTAGAATACAGTTTATCTCTTTCCACTGATGCCTGCTGAAGACCTAATGAAGAGATTTCTAGATTTAACAGTCTCTTGCTCTAGGTATTAGCTGTTGTTCTGAGTCAACAAATTGCTGAGAAACACACACTGGAAAGTAGTGAGGGGAAACATTCCTTAGGACACAGAAGGTAGTTCAGTCATACCTTATCTTGGTTCTTATCATTCTTCTCATAAGGGCCACCTCCACCTCCTCCACCTCCTCCTCCATCGCCTCCTCCACCTCCTCCATCTCCACCTCCTCCTTCTTCTCCTCCACCATCTCCAGCTCCACTAACTGAAGGGCCCCCAAATCCACAGGAACTTCCAGATACTCCTTTGAACTGGAAAGTTCCCTCACTTGGTCTTTTTTCCACAGTCTCATTTTCCTTATTTTCACTCTTCTTTCTGTTCTTTTCTATACAGGGCACCACACCAAGTTGAAGCAAGCATTCAACGATGTTTAGTGCCACATCACAGATTCGAGAACTGATGTCATGGTTAAGGACAAGATAAACAGCCTTCAGAACCACCTGGGGAAAGACAAAAATAAACAGAGGCTGATTAAATTAATTGGATTATCTCTTCCTATTAGATTCAGTTATTCTGTTTAATCAGTTTCTTTTAGGATGTTCTATGCATTTGAATATAATTAATTCAGATAATTTTCAGATATTTCTAAGTTGTTTTGGGCCTTGTTTATGTGCTTAATATAGAGTACAAAACACTCAATGAATTAAAAATGCATATGTGTATTATCTCACTTAAGTATTCCCAAACTTGCCATGATATATAGACAGTTAATGGGGATAATGAGTATAATGAATTAATGGGAGAGCATTTGTCCAAAAGGAAACTTGTTCAATTGCTTTTTAAATCAAAGTATTTTAATTTTCTGCCTTTCACTCTCCACCAATAATGGATAAAAAAAAATGACTTCCTTATGCACATAATAGAGGAACATTTGTACACTCACAATTGTATCATTATTTACATTTCAATTTTAAATACAAAATGTTTGCCTTTTTAAATTATGTCTTTTTTTATTTTAATGTTTTAAATTATTTGCTGATCCAGTTCCCTAATGTGAAATAAAAAGTTTTGTGAAATATAATTGTAAAATATAACAACCCTTCCATTGTGCTAATAACTATAATCAAGACAGTCATCCTTGAGAATGCAAGTTTAAATATTTTATTGGACTTCTGTTCATTTTCCCCTGCTACACAGGAGGTTTATAGTCATGTTGCTTTTATAAGAAAATAAACTGAGAATTTCTTACTCTCTGGAAAAAGGGGACTTAGCAAACACACTCACATTTAGGCATATTTATATATGTGTATTCAGGATTCACTAATGCTTTTGGGTTAGAAATATTCTGAGATGAGGTCAAATGTAAAGTAATTCTTGAAAATAAAGGGGGAAGGTGTAGCTAAGAGGGTTAACACATTTATGAAATGTTTTATATGGATTTTTTTTTCATTTGAAGGTTCAACATTTCTAAGACTTCATATGCCCACTTTACACAACATAGTAAAAACTGAACCAAAGGATCAATATCTTTCAAGCTTCAGTAAGAGAAATCCTTGCTCCTTACAGAAAGATCAAGCATGCCATTTTTGTGAACAAAGTTATTGGTCCCATCAATATGCTCTGTGTCCTCCAAGTAGCTGTAGTTTATGCAGGAGTCCGTGAGGCTTCGTGGCAGGTTCGCACAGGCCAGGGGTTCATGTGTTATCTCTGGGATAGGCACCTGGTTGCAGAGCTTCCTCATATGCTCATTGAAGAAGTCTGCGTAGCCTACGTTGAATGACGCCAATGTGGTATTGAAGGTTGCAACTGTGATCGTGGAGATCTGGGATCTCACTAATAAAAGGAAAGCAATGTCTTAGTTTTCTCCATATTAATCTGGGACATCGCATTAGACACGTATACTATTATCTGAAATATGACCACAATCACAGCTGTAGCTTTTACAGATGTTTCACTTGTAGTCAAAGAGCTATTCTCAACTCCCACAGAATGCTGCAGGTGTTAAGGCTATGCCATGAATAGCTGATAAATAATGAAGGTTATAGAAAAATGTGAATTCCAGCTAGCTTTCTTAAAACCCGGGCCAGAATTTAACTTTTGTCTAGATAGAAGGTGGATTTTACCCACTATTAGATGATGGACCATATTACTATAGTTAAACTAGTTTACTTGGAGTATTTCCCTACTTTGTAGCTGTTTAAATACTTGGTTTTATCTAGTATATTTGAGCAACAACAAACAAGGATTATTTTTTCTCCTTTTCTTTAGAGAAATGGGACATAAATCTGTGATGGTCACTAATAGATATCATCAGCCCTAGCCGGGTTGGCTCAGTGGATAGAGTGTCGGCCTGCGGACTGAAGGATCCCGGATTCGATTCAGTAAAGGACATATGCCCGGTTGCAGGCTCGATCCCCAGTAGGGGGCATGCAAGAGGCAGCCAATCAATGATTTTCTCTCATCATTGATATTTCTATCTCTCTCTACCTCCCCCTTCCTCTCTGAAGTCAATACAAATATATTTTTTTAAAAAATAGATGTCATCAAATACTTGAAGTGCAATCTAGGGAAAAGAGGGATTAATTTATGCTCATAGGTTGAGAGCACAGAATAAGAACCCATCTCGAATTTCACCCACAGACACGTTTGCTCATATAAAGCACATAATGCATTTATCTGAAGTGGAAGCTGTCTGAAAAAGGGACTGGTGACTTCGGAAGGCAGTGACTTCCCTCCTGCTGAAGGTGCCAAACCCTTCAGAGGGACATCATAGAGGGGAATGAAGTCCCGTATCTAACTGTCCTCCAAGTCTCATCTAGCCCTGTGGGTCCATGATCATTGAAAACAAAGATGAATGGCCTGCCCTTGCTTTCCTTCTGAGATATATGGGGTTCCTAGTGTGCTGTTCAGTAGCCCTTGCCACTAAGGAAATTTTGAGAATGGCTCACAAGTAAATTACCAAGCAATATTCTACATGAATGCACATTTTCAGAAAGCACAAGGAGCCAGAGTACAATGAAATGGAACATGGAGTAAAAACAGGAAGCAGGAAAAGGAACCTGAACTCCCGCCTGCGGGCGCAGCCTCCGACCCACCTTCCTTGAAGGTGTTTTCTCCGTGGCTGTTGGAGTGGTCCGGCAGGTCACTCACCAGGGTGTGATGAGAGTGTGAGTGCTTGGCGCTCAAGCTCTCCATCTCCGTGGCTGCATCAGAACTGCCCCGCCGGGTAAATTTCCCTGAGATGGACAAGAATATCACAAGAGGGTTTTCAAAACTGCAAGATACTCTGCTGAGATTTTGTCTTCTGAAAGGACAGCAGTGAGAGTGAGGGGGTATTAGGAAGCACATAAGGCACAAATAGCAGGACTTGAACTTGCACTGGGAATGGTCAGAGTCAAGATGATTGACGAAGCTGCCTGTGATAAGGTCAGCCCCGATCTAAGCCAAATGTCGGACACCATCTGCTGGGCCCCAGCTAGCTGTCAGCTCTTAGCTTTAAGCTGGCCTTCTTAATATGCCAGCCAGAAAGAAAAATGTTCCTTTTCTTTACTCTTTCCTTTTTAGCAATCAAATTAAATAACAGCCTGTCTTTGGATTCACAAGGAAAACTAATGCACAGGCCCCTCTAAGGCCATGTTTCCATGTCTAGAATATTTAAGAAATGGGGCCATTACCTGTCTCATTACAGAAGATTCTTGAATGATTAATTCAATTATCTACATTTCTTTGGCTGTGAAGACACAGCATTATTTTGTACAGGGTACTCACATTTGGGCCCAAATTTCTTGACTAATCTGTTCAAGGAAGATCCACATTTGCCCCAGAGACCTAGATCCAGATTCCTAAATGGGTTACTCAAGATCGGCCCTATGTTGGGAGGTCCTGCGGTCACCTAGAATGGTGGTCTGCCAGCCGCCTTTCTCAATGCCTCGCCGGTCTTCTCCCAGCGCAGAGAAGCTTCCGAAGGAGAAGGTGCTGCGGGTGGGGGACACATCCAGGTGGTCCTCGTGAAGCAGGAAGGGCACACCCATTCTCCGCGGCCTCCTCTTCCCCGTGTGGTGCAAGGGGATGGAGCCCTTCCTCTCCCGGTCTTCTTTGCGACTCTTGAACTACGAGGGTGAGAGGTGAAGGGTTAGGCACAGGGCAAAGGAGAGCTTACAGTTTGCTCCCCAAAAGGCTCCATGACCTGCCATAAAATGTAGTAAATGTTGCAGGAAGAGGAGACCCAGAGAGTCACAGAATATCATGGGATAGAGATGGGAGAAATGTTCACATGTATTTAAAGAGGGAAAGGAATGAAAAAAGGGAGCATGTTCCCTGGGGTTTTTGCTGGGTTGATTAGAAAAGTTTTTCTCAAAGTGTGGTCTCTGGACCAGCCACATCAGCGTTCACACAGAGGTCATGCTGCAAGCCAGTGTTAACCTTTTGTTTGCCAAGCGGCGGACCTTCCCCACCTGCCATGCGCATCTATAGCCGCAAACCTCGCTTATCAACTCTGGTTGCCCAATTTTAAAATTAGACTTGTCAGTGACATCTCTGGGTTTGTAAACCCAGAAAATTATGGTAACTTAAATTCGTAAATATTCCAGCACATATGGAAGAAATTCCAATATCGATATATAGGGCTGCCACTCAGACACACGAGATAAACACTGCGACACTTGAGATTTGTTTGTGTTATCATGAATTTCACACCTAAAATGGTGCATTCTTCATTATTTTTTTACAGATTTCATCTTTGGAACATCAACAAAATTTGTTAGAGATGGGAGAAATGTTCACATGTGTTTAAAGAGGGAAAGGAATGAAAAAAGGGAGAATGTTCCCTGGGGTTTTTGCTGGGTTGATTAGAAAAGTTTTTCTCAAAGTGTGGTCCCTGGACCAGCCACATCAGCATGCACACAGAGGTCATGCTACAAGCCAGTGTTAACCCTTTGTTCGCCATAAGCATCTATAGACACAGCGGAGGACCTTCCCCACACGCCACATGCATCTACTCGTATAGCCGCAAACCTCGCTTATCAACTCTGGTCGCCCAATTTTAAAATTAGACTTGTCAGTGACATCTCTGGGTTTGTAAAGAAAATCATGGTAACTTAAATTCGTAAATATTCCAGCGCATATGGAAGAAATTCCAATACCGATATATAGGGCTGCCACTCAGATGCGTGAGAGATAAACACTGTAACACTTGAGATTTGTTTGTGTTATGAATTTCATGCCTAAAATGGTAAACATGGTGTGCATTCTTCATTTTTTTTTTTTACAGATTTCGTCTTTGGAGCATTAACAAAATTTAGTGTTTTGGGGGCTTTTTGTGTCGACTGTTTATTTTTATTTCGTGCTCGCTTTTCATATTTCTGTAGAATTGAAAATTATCATTATTCTATTATTAAATTTATCATTGTAATGTATTATATTGTGCAAATAAAATTCAATCCCCATAAATGGTATCAGATAAAGAAGTAATTGAACCAAGCACCTCACAAGAAGAAGAAGATGACATCCTTCATTCAACTCCAGAGTCAGATTATTTTTTAAATTAAATTCAAAATATTGTGGCGTGTGGGGATAGTTTCCATTTTGGACCGAGGCAGTTAACCGATTAAACTGGGAGATGAGTTTTGTTCCCCAGGGTCCTTTCCCACCCCACCCATACAGCAGCATGATCAGAAGCACCTCAGGCCCTAATCATTTATTTTATTACCAAAATATCAAAAGGGTAAGTGGCTCTACTCACCTTCTTAAAAATGTTCATGCCAAGGTCAGAAGAAAGATCTGGGACTGCAGACCTACGCAGATTGGTCAAGGACACCTTGGAAAAGGCCTCAGGACTGAGAGATTTTTCATCTTCATTACACTTCATGGTGAGATCCTTAATAGATAACAAAGGTTATGACTAACGACTTAGGGCTTTATATCTAAACTAGAGTCCCGGTGCACGAAAATCATGCACTGGTGGGGGGATAGTCCCTCAGCCCAGCCTGTGCCCTCTCACAGTCTGGGGCTCTCGCAATCCGGGACCCCTCGCTCCTTACCGCCCACCTGCAGCAGAGGCAGGAGAGGCTCCCATCACCACCGCTGCACTCGCCAGCCATAAGCTTGGCTTCTAGCTGAGTGGTGCTCCCCGTGTGGGAGTGCACTGACCACCAGGGGGCAGCTCCTGCATTGAGCGTCTGCCCCCTGGTGGTCAGTGTGCATCATAGCGACTGGTCGTTCTGCCACTCGGTCGATTTGCATATTAGGGTTTTATTATACAGGATACTTTCTTACTGAGATATATTTTTAGTAGAAATATGCCTACTGTGTTGATATCTATGAAATATTTAACTTGTATCCAGACTTTCAGAATCCAAATCCTGCTACTGAGGAGGAATATTTCATATTAATTATAACTTCTGTTTGGAGTTTTCCCCAGTGAGACTATGAAGCTCCAGAAAAGCTAAGAAAATAAGGATGGTATAGGTATCTTTTTCTCTTCTTATTAAAAAAAGTGGCTTTCTATTCAATGATTCATCAAAAGAGATATTTACTTTGTGCATAATCAGCTACTACTAAAACAGAATCTATTTCCTTTTCTCCCTGATATTGTATTGCTCATGCTTATTTTCAGAACATGCAGATGTTTTTCAGACACAGCCAATTCACATTTAAGTAAACCCAAATAACTGGGACACACCGCTAATCATATTTTTCTTTATGTATTCAATGCATGATGTGGATGAGAAAGAGGGGCAGAATAAGTGTTCAAGCTGATATAAGGACATTAATTTATCAAAAAGTGATTTTCAGGGGATGTCATCCCAACAATACATTCAGTTTACTACTCCAATCACCTATATTTATATAAAAGCCTAAGCGACTGTCTGACAGTTGGACCTTCTGACCAATAGCTATGACGTGCATTGACCACCAGGGGGCAGACACTCAACGCGGGAGCTGCTAAGCTGCGGTGACTTGGCAGCTGCTGTTTTCGGGTGATGCACCCAGACCCAGAGAGGAGGGAGCCTGATTCCAGGGTGCATCATCTGAGAACCACCCTCTCGCAATCCTGGACCCCTCGGGGGATGTTGGAGAGCTGGTTTCTGCTGGATCCCCGCAGGCTGAGGGACCCCACCTGTGCACGAATTCATGCACTGGGCCTCTAGTCTATAATAAATAACAAGACTATATATCAAAAAACAATATTCCTAATGATGACGCTGAGGCACTAGATACTTTTGAAATGTGGAAAAGAGGTTAAATCATAAGTAAAACTCTAGCATCACGCATTTTATAATATTAACATAAGTAAAACTCTAGCATCACGCATTTTATAATCAACATATTATATGTGTGAACTCTCTATTAAGTAGTGCTTTGATTATCTAAGACCCAATTTTCCATTATTTTGGATCAATGGAGGCTTACTCTAGATTAGTGTGGGAAAAGGGCATTCAGATAGCACTTCTTTGAATGGGAAATTAAATGCTAAAGACCAGCCAAGGGGTCCAACAGTAAAAGATGGAAGAGAAAGGTTAGTAGCATCACAGTAACCACCAGCCAAATATTCAGCACTGGAATAAGCAGGCGCTGGATACATAGAAGAAAAATAGAATCTGTTATAACCACAGTTACTGATTCAAATGACAGTGAACCAAGTCTCTCTTACTTGGGTTTTGTGGGTGTTCACCAGTGAGGGGGCTGCTGCCACCATTGAGCTGCTCCTGGGTCTGGGCAGGAGGGGAATATCTGGCTCTGGGAGCTTCTCTGGCTTCTCTTCCAACATGTGTCTCAGCCTTTGTAGATAATACATCAGAGACCACTGAGTGCCTTCCTCAGACCAGTGGGGCTGGAGTAGGCAGCGAAGAACAGCAACATCAAAGTAGGTGGCATAGCGGGACCTTTGGCATGGAGGTATCACAAGAGAGACCCTGTTCATGGCAGAAAGATGATTACATTGGTAGTCAAACATTCCAAAGGGTGGCACATGACTTTTAGCTCTGCTTTTCTCATTTGTTCTTTATTCATTCACTTAATTTACTGGTTACTCTAATATCGGAGACTCTGTTCATGGCAGAAAGATGATTACATTGGTAGTCATACATTCCAAAGGGTGGCACATGGCTTTTAGCTCTGCTTTTCTTATTTGTTCATTTATTCATTCACTTAATTTACTGGTTACTCTAATATCCTCCAGACTGGTCTCATTTCACTTTTGATAGACACTGCCGGGAAGTAGAGACTTGGAGAGAGGTAGAAATTATCCAGGCAGAGTTGAGGATTGGGCAGGAGGGTGGATGGCACTTCAGTCAGAGGGAACAATGCCTACAAAGGTATGGAGTTTTTAAAGTATCATGAATTAGGGAAAATCACAGGTAATTGATATAGCTAGTGAGTAATTTCGGTGGTAGACAATGAGGAAAATCTATAGACACAGATGAGGCTCAGATCATGATGTCTCTCTTATTAAACTGAGCTATCAGGTTTGACTTTTAGCTCAAAAGAAATAGTAATGTGTGCTTAATTGGGCTATTTTAATTTCAATTGTGATAATATGATATAAAAACACATGGAAACTGCAAAGTACAAAAAACACACAAAAGTTATACTATGAGGAAAATAAAATCATTTTGAAAACTCAATTTATGTAAGATAGCCAAACTAATTTTTAAAATCTTGAGATTTCAAGGTTCTGGAGTTCTATTATTCATTTTAAACACATGACATATTCATTATTTAGTCATTACTTTAATTGTGCTACAAAATAGTTTTTAGCAATTACTCAGCATAATACATCATCTTAGGGGATATGAAGGTAAGTAAATTTAACTTCCTTGCCTTGAAGAACACATGGTCCTGAGAAAATTACAGACAATAAATAACAAATTATAAATTTAGAACTTCTGGGATCAAATATGCAATCTTAAATCTAAACTTAACTGCCAAGTATAATTTCTTCCTAAATTAGATAATACAAAAGTGCTATCAACTAGCAAATGGTGCTACCCACACATGAAGAGCTTAAGGAAAAACACAGCCACTTAGATTCAGAGAAGTTTTCCTAAACTTCCCAAACCCATACTTTTTAAATTGAAGGTTATCATTTATTATTGGTTCAAGAGATTAATTCAAAAGGTTGTGACTACTATTAAAAAGTTAACTAAAACAAAAACCATCAGACACAACAAATTAAGTAAGGATTTGTCTGGTTGGTGAAACTTTTGTTTCACCTCACATCTTTGTCATGAATCCTAAGTCCTTGGGACAAATTTCATTTTTAGCCGAGAAATGGAAAAAAGAGGCTGACAACTCCAGAATTCCATCAACCAAGCGTCATGTGATTGTTAAAGCTGTATGATCCAAAGCAGTAAACAGGTCAATGGGCCCACTTATTCATGCCAGAATATTCCCTTCAGCCCAGCTGGTGTGGTTCAGTGGTTGAGTGTTGACTTATGAACCAGGAGGTCACGGTTCGATTCCTGGTCAGGGCACATGCCTGGGTTGTGGGCTTTATGCCCAATAGAGGGAGTGCAGGAGGCAGCCAATCAATGATTCTCTCACATTACTGATGTTTCTATTTCTCTCTTTGAAATCAATAAAAATATATTTTTAGGAAAAGGTGGGGGGAAGAGGACCTATGTAATACTTTCAACAATAAAGAGCAAAAGAAAAAAGCAAACGGTTAGCAGAAGGAAAAAAAAAGGAATATTCCCTTCAGGTGATAGGGGCCCATCTCTCCCAGGGTGAACTGGTTTGCTTCCTAAGATGGCTCTGTTACTTTAATACCCAGAATCATTTTGCCTAACATGAATAAAATGTATTTTTTTACTGTGGGTTGCAGTAAAAAGTTTAAATATACAAACCCAGATCAGGACAGGTGCCCTGTGAATCATTTTCATAGCCTCTCTACTTCCTGATCAAAACACATCTTGCACTTCACTATTTCTACTCTCAGTACCATTGTATGGCCTGCTGAGGAACAACTGCCTCTGTACACAGTGGTTTTGAATGTCAGTGATATCTTGTCATCTAATCAATATGCTTGAATATTTTAGTTGATAAGTGGCAAACTAAATATGTTAAAATTCAATCACATAATGTGCTACAATACTATTTATGTAACTGAGTTGGCAGTCATATGAAGAAGAGAAACTTTCTACATTTGATACAGGATTTTTGCACTGGAACACACTGTGTTCCCCTGGGCAGGATGGTTCCCCGGATTCTTTGTCCTGGGAGTCAAAGAATGAATCCACAGACAGAAGATGGAAACTTACTGAAGAACAAGTACAGACTCCCACGTGGGGAAGGGGAAAGAATCTCACAGCACAGACTGCCACATGGGGAGGGGGAAAGAATCCCACAAAGTTCTGTGAACCCCTCTGGCCCCTTTATAAAGGCTGCAGTTCCTGTGTCCTGATATCCCCTCTGATTGGTCAATATTCCCTTTGGTTTAGTCACTATAGCAACTCCTGAGCTCAAAGGTCAAACATCACTTGAGACATGTGAGGCTCTCCTCCCTCATTGTTCTCCCATTCCCTCTGGGCTTTCTGCCTCCTTCTTTATTTTGTAAATATACCTGGTAGACCTTTTTATGGAAGTGTAGCTGTAGCCTGTCCCTTGTCTTATGGAAATGTAACCTCTGCTCTGTAGCCCTGTGTATTTTCCATGGACCCTTAATTTTTAAAATTTCCTAAACCTGCCTATTTCACCCCTAAAAATTCCCATTTCACAATCAGCATATATGTTATGCTGGAGTTCATCCCTTTGCCAGGGAGCTAGAATACTCTAGACATCAGCTGCATGGCAACTTTCAATTCATCAGAAATCCCGTAGATTACCCCTCCAATCACTTCTCATCAATTGAGACTAGGTATCCTCCTACTCGCCTTGCTTTTTCTCTGCTTCCACTCCTCTACTCAAACTCTTCTAAAAGACAGAAAGTTCCCACCCTCTAATCACATGGTTGGTTCCCCTGGAAACCAACCCCACGCCTTAGTTGCATTCCAAATGTTCCCTTAACATAACAAAAGACATTTTATCACTCATCACTTAGGAAATTCTAAGGGTTTTAGAAGCTCTTGGCACAAAGGCTAAATACATATTTCTTATTATAAACAACAATATCATGAATTCCAACCAAAATTCCAAAGGGATTTATCTCTTATACATCAATAAGACTGTTCTGAAATTTAACTGGATGGATGAATAAAAATTTGAAAGTAATTAAGAAAGATTTAAACAAGAGTGCAAAGAGTATAAATTGCCAGATAGTAATCTGTTTTACAACAATATATTTAACCAATGTAGTACTAATTTAGGAATAGATAAGAGTTCAATGGTATACAATATGGAACTATAAAAAATTCAAATATTTATAAAAAGTTAATATATAAAAAGGTCCTGCATCAAATTAGTGCAAAAGATACTATAATCCTGTATAATAAAACCCAAATATGCAAATCAACTGAATGGTGAAACAACCAGTCGCTATGACGCTTACTGACCACAGGGGGCAGACACTTAACGCAGGAGCTGCCCGCTGGTGGGTCAGTGCACTCCCACAGGGGGAGCACCGCTCAGCCTGAAGCCAGGCTCAAGGCTGGCGAGTGCAGCGGCAGTGGCAGGAGCCTCTCCCGCCTCCACTGCAGGCAGGCGGTAAGGAGCGAGGGGTCCTGGACTGTGAGAGGGTGCAGGCCTGGCTGAGGAACCCCCACCCCTACCCTCAGTGCACGAATGTCGTGCACCAGGCCTCTAGTATATATAACAAAATATATAATATTGTCATAATAGACTTCTCAGAAAAATTTAATTAGGCCCATCTTAATTACCATATTTTATTCCCCAAATAAAATCAAGGTGGATTAAGATTTAAATGTAAAAATATGAAACCCTAACAGTACTAGAAAAACATTTTGGCTATTTTTTAAAAAAATATATGTTTTTTCTTGATTTCAGAGAGGAAGGGAGGAGAGAGAGATAGAAACATCAGTGATGAGAGAGAATCATTGATCAGCTGTCTCCTGCACACACACACCTCCCCCCTCTCAGGGGATCGAGCCTGCAACCCAGGCATGTGCCCTTGACCAGAATTGAACCTGGGACCCTTCAGTCCACAGCTCTATCCATTGAGCCAAACCAGCTAGGGCTTGGCTATTTTTTATAATCATTGAGTAGAAAAGAACTTTATAACAATCTAATGGCCTCAAATTTAAAACAACACAAATGCCCATCAACACGTGAATATGTGGCAGAACAAGCACAAACCATAAAAGCTACAGGAACTGTCAAGAAGTAAGACCACATACCCACCAGAAAGATGGCTAAGAACAGGCAGAGAGCAGCTGGATCCCACATGGCAACTCATTTCACCTAAAGGTAACCCTCTTGCTTCATTATAATACATCAGTGTGGTAAACAACACACCCCATGTCACCATGATGGGAATGGAAAGCCCCTATCAGGACACAAAGAGGCCTACAGAGCTCCTCTGAGAAATCTCCACTCCTTTCCCAGGAAGATCCTGAATATTCCTCCCCCTTATTGAATACCCAATTAAATGAACCTCAATAAAGGAAGTAAATTCTGCTTAAGGGAGGCTGCTCTTTCTATGGGGTAGCCTGTTCTTTGTCTCACTGCTTCACTAATAAACTCACTTTCACTTTAAACTCTATGCTGGCTCACATTTGAACTCTTTCTTGTGTAAAGTCAAGAACCCACAGTGGATTTTGGACGCTCCTGTCCCTGACCCAGGAATGCCTGCATCAAATGGATAAACAAACTGGTACATCTAATTCACTGGAATACTACTAAGCAATAAGACAGAGACTATTGATAAACACAATAATTATGCTGAATTAAAAAAGCTGGCCCCCCCAAAAGAGTATGTTTTAATTTATATAAAATTCTAAAAATTTCCAAATTAATCTAT